CTTTCCCGGAGGCTCAGGCTGTCCCCGGCAATGTCAGGTTACTGTCCTGGCCTCATGGGACGATGCCCCTCCCCCTTTCTGTGCAACCTCCTCCTCCATCTTCCAGCCTGTGTCCGTGCATTATAGTGGACTGTCTCCTTCACCTTTGCATCCTTAGCCAGCATGGTGGCTGGTCAGGAGAGGAACCAAGTTATTGAACCGAACAGAAAGGGATGCGGGAAAAGGGTGGTGTGTCCTGGGGGGTATTTCTTCTCTGCTTGTCCCTCAGGGGTCCACACGAGCCTTATCCACTTCGCTGGAGGAATGCGAGGGGAAAGCATCACACTAGCATTCATGCAGTCAGTACCTACTATGTGGCTAGGGCCGTGTCGGGTGCTTTCACGATTGCTGTACTTGGTTAAAACCCCCCACAAGGTAGAAACCACACTCAGGAGATGAGGAAATTGAGGCTTGTCGGTGAACCAGCTACTTGAGATCACGCCACTGGTAAGTGATGGAGCGGGAGCGGGAGCGGGAGCCCATGTCTGCCCCGAGTCTGTCCTGGTTCCCCTGGGGAGTCCATGCTGCTAGCTGGGGAGTGCAGGGGACTGAGGCTTGTGGGAGGCTTCCTCACGCGTGGGAAATCCCCACGGAGGGTTAGTAGAGCAACTGTCTAGTGGGTAATCTGTGCAGAATCTTCACTGGGCCTTTACAGGCAACCAGACGGCTGCTGGGTGTCCAGTTAACAAACCCCAGGGCCAGAAGGCTAGAAGGCAGTGGCCAACCCGGAAAGTTATGCTCAGTCAGACCAAGAGCAGAGGCTGGGCTTGAACTCAGAACCACCCACTCCAACGACGCGCACACTGAGCGGACTTTCCTCATGGCCCATGAGCTTGGTCCCCACTGGCTGTCTCTTCTACCACAGACCAGACAGAATCCCTCATCCTGACTGAAAAAGGGATTTCAGAAAATGACTTTTTTTTTCTTATGCGGCAAGAAACAAAGACCATAGAAGATCATTTCCTGTTTGTGTCATCTGACGGCAGATGTATTGCTTGTTGGGGAAACAATGAAAAAAAAAAACCAGACTCAGATTAGTGGCAAACAATTTCCTTCTTTTTTTTTTTTTAAAGATCCAGCTTTCTTTTCTTTTTTCTTTTTTTTAAAGATTTTATTTATTTATTTTTTAGAGAGGGAAGAGAAGGAGATAGAGAGAAAGAAACATCAATGTGCGGTTGCTGGGGGTCATGGCTTGCAACCCAGGCATGTGCCCTGACTGGGAATCGAACCTGCGACACTTTGGTTCACAGCCCACGCTCAATCCACTGAGCTACGCCAGCCAGGAACAATTTCCTTCTGAACAAACTGGATTTGCTGATATGCAAAGGCGGACAGAGGCAAAGAGACAAAATGAGAGAGACCATGAACAGTCTGAGGCGCAGCAGGGAGCAGAGAGGACAGGAGAAGGGGTGGGAGCTCCCAGATGGACTGGGGTCTGCTGAGGGCCACTCTGCTGCTGTTTGGTGACTTGCAAGCCCCAAGAGAGATGTTCTGAAATTGTTTGGCAGTTTCTTCAAAAGTTCAACATATATTTACCATATGACTAAACAATTCCACGGCGAGGTATCTACCCAAGGAAGGGAAAGGACAACATATGATCACACGAAGAACTGTGCGTGGACGTTCAGGTCAGCATTATTCCCAGTAGTTCAAAACAGGAAACAGTTCAAACGTTCATCAACTGACAGATGGGTGGACAAAATGCAGTATGTCTACACAATGGCATACTCCTCAGCAATAAAAGGATCACGTTCTTTGTCTTGGCCAGTGTGGCTCAGTTGGTTGGAGTGTCATCCCATACACCAAAAGGTTGGGGGTTCGATTCCAGGTCAGGGCAGATGCCTGGGTTGCAGGTTCAATCCCCAGTTGGGTCATATGTGGGAGACAACCAATAGATGTTTTGTTTTGTTTTGTTTTGTTTTGTTTTGTTTTCTCTCTCTCCCCTGCCCCTTCCTCTCTCTCTCAAATCAATAAACATATTTTTAAAAAATTTTAAAAAGGAACACATTTTTGAACATGCTACAACACAGATAATCCTCAAACATACTATGCTAAGTGAATGAAGTCAGACACAGAAGACTACCTACTGTGATCCAGTTATAAGCAATTCCTCCTGGCTGGCGTGGCTCAGTGGATTGAGGGCAGGCTGCGAACAAAAGTGTCTCAGGTTCGATTCCCAGTCAGGCCACATGCCTGGGTTGCAGGCCACGGCCCCCAGCAACCGCATATTGATGTTTCTCTCTCTCTCTTTCTCCCTCCCTTCCCTCCCTAAAAATAAATAAATAAAATCTTAAAAAGAAAAGAAATTCCTGTAAAAGGCGGAACTATAGAGACAGAAAACAGGCTGGTGTCTGCCTGGTGTGGGGGTGGGAATGAGCACATCCTGCCTCAGGGAGCTTTCCAGGGGGAGGGGGTGTGTTTTAAAACTAGACTGTGGAGATGGCCGCACCACTGTATACATGCAGTATAACTCAGCAACACGGGCGTGCCTTAATATGGGTGAGTGTTATGGTATGCAAATTATGCTTCTATAAAACTGTTTTAAAACAAAATATTCTGCAGCCTGGGATGAATATAACCAATGGTACAAAGGAAAAGGCTGCGATATTCATCGCAAGGACAACTGAGAATACGGCAATGTTCCCAGATCCTCAGTGTGGTGGCTGGGTTAGCACAAGGCTGCTGAGAAAGTCCTGGAATATTAAAGTCAGCTTGGAGACAAAGTTAATATGAAAGATTTGCACAGCAGTTAATGGAGGTATTGCTTTTACTATTTTTTTAAATCATTGTTCAAGTACAGTTTTCTGTCCTTTACTCCCAACCCAACCCACCCACCCATCCCTTCCCCCATTTCCATCCCCCCTAGTTTTTGTCCATGTGTCCTTTATATTTGTTCCTGTGAACCCTTCCCCTTTTCCCCTGAAATTCTCCTGAGATTCCCTCCCTTCTCCCCTCTGGTCACTGTCAGCCTGTTCTCTATTTCAGTGTCTTTGGTTATATTTTGCTTGTTTGTTTTGTTGTTTAGGTTCCCGTTAAAGGTGAGATCATATGGTATTTGTCTTTCATTGCCTGGCTTATTTCGCTTAGCATAATACTTTCCAGCTCCATCCATGCTATTACAAAGGGTAGGAGCTCCTTCTTTCTGCTACATAGAATTCCATTGTGTAAATGTACCACAGTTTTTTGATCCATTCATTTACTGATGGACACCTAGGTTGCTTCCAGCATTTGACTATTGTAAATTGTGCTGCTATGAACACTGAGGTGCATAGGTTCTTTTGGATTGGTGTTTCAGGGTTCTTAGGATATAATCCCAGCATGGAATTGCTGGGTCAAAAGGCAGATCCATTTTTAGTTTTCTGAGAAAGTTCCATACTGTTTTCCATAGTGGTTGTACTGCCTTTACTATTTCCAAAGGCAGCATCCATACACAGAGTTCAGAAATCAGGAAGGGTAAAAGGAACATCACGTTTTGAGAATGACACTGTAGAAGGTTAACATACGCCCCTCAGAGGAAGCCTAGAGAGTTGACGGGTTGGGAGCAGAGTCCGGGGTGGTACTATTTATGTATTAACATCCTGTTTTCCAGAACATGACACCCTGGAAAAGGGCAGGAATGTGCTGTAGAAAGGGGGAGAATCCAAAAGATTGCATCGCTCTGACACCACCACACTCTGGCTTTGGGTGGGCACAGACCAGATTAGAACCCAACTCCGCCTCTCGCTGTAGCTTGAAATGGTTTCATCTGTAGAACGGGCTCGCTGCTGCCGACCTCAGAGTGTGGCTCTGAGGGTCAGACGGGAGAATGGACATGCACCCTCAACCAGGTGATCCAGCTTCACTGCCTGCACCTTCTGGAGATGCTGCACTGGTCTACTAGGGGAGGTGCAGTTTACCTACGCACAGAATGCTCTAAAAGGAATCATCTCACGTTTCTTTCCAAAGCTTACCACTGTGCACAGCTGTTGAGCGTCACTTTGCACATATTTGGTAACTTAGCCATGGAAGGAAGAGCAATGAAATGAGGCCTGGGTTCACGCAGCCCCTCTTCATCCTGGGGGACGCCCAAACATCACGTGATGCAGGACGTTGAGAAAAAGATGCTATGGAAAATAGTCCTACGTCAAGTTCCAGTCTCGGTTTGCCTCAACTCCTGCAGCTGGCGCAGCTGGTCTGCAAACTCCCTGTCGACTCCCCGATCTTCACTCCTGATGTCTGTGAGAGGGGGGAAAATACACTACCATGGAAACACGGTGTAGGTTAGCATCAATATCTTTCCTTTCTCCCTCCCTTAAAATAAAGTATATCTTCTCCGTAACGGATTTAAAACACAGGTAAGCAAAAAATAAAAAGTGAGCAATCTCTTGAACGAGCACTCAGATAGGGTCACATGAATGTTTTTGTTGATGTTGTTCCAATCCTTTCCTATGGGAACGTAAGCCCGTGTTGATATATTACGTCCGAAATGTGTGTCTGGACACTAGAGCCAGAGGACCTGGGTTCGAACCCTATCCCTACCACTTATAGCTGTGTGTCCTGGTAAATTGGGGAAAAGGGCAATCCTTGTGAGGGACGAGTGTACTAAATATATAATATACACAGAACTGGGTGGGGTATAGCACAGTGTGCAATGACAGAGAGCTCCCGCCCTGGGCAAGGCACGTGTATCATACAACACCTTGCACGGATGTAGCATATGCACTCATGTGTATGTGTGACTACTGACATGTGTGAAGGCCTGTGTTAAGCATGTGGAGAGATGCGGTTGCTACATTGGAACACACAAAATGGGCTCAAACTTCAAATAGGGATCAGAAAAGCGGCAGTCCACTAGATCAAACCAAGACGATTTTCCATGCCTTTGAACCTCGAGTGAGTGAAGTGGCTTCTTCAGCCCACTCAAGTCTAGTTATGATCTAAATCAGAACCATAACTTAATACCTGCTCAACGTCAAAAACAGTAACCTTATGAATGCAAAATTTATTTTTAAAAAAGACAACATGATTCTTCCAGAATAAAAATCAGAAACACCTCGAAAGCTTCCGTTCCAGCTCTGCAGATGCACCCGTGTGCTCCTGTGCTACCACCCCCACCCCTCACATGGCTCCGCAGGGGTGGGTCAGTCACTGTGAAGTGGCAGGGAAGCCTCAGGTGAAAATGCACAAGCTAAATCTCTTTTCCGACCAAAGTCTCCAGTGAATGTTGCCAGTGCAAGGGGACATGGGAGGTATGTGACAGGCTGGCGCTGCAAAGAATCACACAGGCTTGCACCATGTTCTTGTCAGGAGTCTGGGTCAGGCAGGTCTTGAAAGAGAGGGTTGTAGGTCACAGCTGCACTGATAACCGGCTTGTCCACGAACTCCACAGCACACAGTTCTGGGGGGCTGTCACCGCAGGGTGCGCGTTCCAGTTCTAGCACTACGATGGTGTTTGGGCCTGATGCCACCAGGATGTGCTGTGGCACAAACAAGGTCATCTGGGGGCCCCGTGCTGGCCAGTAGCGACCGAGGTTGAAGCCATTAATCCACACCTGACCCTGGAGAGAGAGAGAAAGAGAGAAACCATCAACCCCGGCTGCAGGGATCCTGAGGAACAGGAGCACCTTGATGCCAGGACACGCCAGCAGCCGCAGAGGCAGGAAACGCCCCCGCGCAGGCACGCTCCACCACAGCTGAGGCCAGCCCGGGGTCCAGCATTCTGCGGGGATGGCTGGCCATGTCGGGCAGGGGCTGGGTGGGAGAAACTACAAGTTGCCCCAAATGCCCACTTCCACTTCAGGAAAATACGTGTTTGGTCCCTCTGCCTGGCTTTGGCGGTCACACGTCAGTGCTGGACAGCACTGTGGCAGCGTTGCCAAGTGTCTGAAGTTCATCCTGGGTCCTGGAGGACTGCCTGTCTCCACAGACCAGCCTCTCCCTGACGCTTCTGTGCAGAGACAATGACAAATGGCCTCCTCAAGGAGGTGAGCTTTCCTTCTCTGTGCCCTGCTCCTAGAGGCGGGTCCTGACCACGCTGTCACTGTGCACAAGGTGAGCACAGGGCCTGCAGCCTGAGAACACACAGGCCCCAGAGGCCGTCCCCAAACAACCCCTCCAGAAGGATGTGGGGGTGGTGGGGGGAGAGACAGGGGCCGCCCACTTGGGTGTCTGTATTACTGGTTTTTGCACCAACATCAGGGTGAGAGCAGCACGCTTGCTTCAAGAAGCAGAGGGGACCCTACGGGCTGCAAAGGCAATTTCTGTGAACAGGAGAAGCCGCTTCCGCTACAAAGCTGAGAGCAGAGAACCTCCTGAAGGAGAGCACCGATGGTTGGGTGTGTCCACACGGCCTCTCCGCAGGTGTTAGCATCCGCTCAGAGGGTGGGACACAGCTGCTGGCTGGAGAGATGGAACATTCTATCACAAGGAAAGAGAGCAAAGGAGGGGCAATCATGCACAGGAGAGAGAGAAGGGAAGAATATGTAGGAGAAGAAAGAAGGAAGGAATAAAGGGAGAAAGAAGGGAGGGAGGGAGGGAGGAAGAAATAAAGAAATTCCTCCCCACGGTGGTCCAAATACAGACAGTGTCCCACTTAGGGTGGTTCAACTTACGATTTTTTGACTTTATGAATTGTGCTAGAGCAACGCACGTCATACATTACATAAGATGTTATCATAAAATAGGCTTTGTGTTAGATGACTTTGCCCACCTGTAGGCTAATGTGAGTGTTCTGAGCACGTGTAAGAGGCTAGGCTAAGCCACGCTGTTCAGTAGGGCAGGTATTCTGAATGCATTTTCAACGTACAAGATTTTCAACTCACGATGGGTTTATTGGGGTATAACCCCAATGTAAGTCGAGGAGCATCTGTAATGGCGGGGGGGAAACCCTGGAGGAGGTCCAACTGTCACTTGCTGAGCCCTGATACCTAGCATGCTCCTTGTCACAGCTGCGGTCCCTTACCTTACAGCTGCTTCGTTGCTCAGCTTGGGGTATTGTTTTCAGCTTCCAGGGATGCCCTTTATTCCAGCTCCCTCTGCATTTCCTAGCTGGGTTCAAAGCTTAGTCCCACCACTTCCTGGCTGTCTGACGTTGGGCAGGTCCCAGCTCACGCCAGCAATTGGGGACATAGAGGACAGGAGGACGCAGAGCATGCCAGCGCAGGGCCAGCCCCGGGGAAGTGCTCGGTGAGCTGTGGCTCTCCTCACACGATGTGATGAAACAACCCGGGCCTTCCCGTACCCACAAAAGCCGGCCGCTGATTAAAAACCGCCTATCGTTTGGATTCAGTCATTTAGAAAAAGGATGACAGTTTCACAGTACCCAGAACCACTTTACTCTTGTTTTTTTGAACCACGGGACACGTTATCTTGATCCATCCTGAAAGGAGGCACAATGACAGCTTTACCAGGTTTTTATCAGTTTGACATCTGCCGGCGCCTTGTTTTCACAGGATTAACGAACAGCAACATCACTTTTGTGGTCAAGGGGGGAGATGCGTTCAGAGGTAGATTAGCGGTGGGGGGTGGGGTGGGGAGGAGGATTCTGTGAGCCGCCCACGAGGAATGGCTTGTGCGCCATGGACGCCACGCTGTGTTCCCGGCAAGGGCCAAACCAACTCTTCAACCAAGAGTGAGGTGAAGAAAGTTGAGGTTTGGTTCCTTCTCCCTCACAGCTCTTGAGTTGAGTCATACCACCCTGGAAGACTGGCGACATTTCCCTAAATCCCCTCCACCCGAGGGTTCTGGGCCAGAGCTGGCCGAAAGAGGACCTCGAGATTGGGAAGCAGCAGGGAAGCAGCAGCCCTTGAGCTTGAGGGTTGTCACGGCTGTGCCCAGCACTGGCAGGACCATGGTCTCCTCTGCTCCATGTCCAGCTCGTCTTCGTGAAGGCTGTTCTGCTGACCAACAGTGCAGCAGCTTCCCAGGGCACCAGTCCCACAGCCTTCCCTGTGAGCTCCCCCAAGTGCCACTTAGGTGGCAGGACTTGCTCCTGAGAGTCCCCAGAGGTGCCGACTTGCCCAGCACAGGTGGGTCAGGCAGTGTTCCCCATCTGATGCTCTGTCCGCTCTGCCAAACTCTAACTCCCGGTGAACAGTCCCGGCGGCCCCACTCCCCAGACTGCACTGTGACCGACAGACACAACCCCAAACCGTCGCTCCTAGTTATTGATCAAAGTTGACACTATTTTTCTCCTCATCACTCCCTTAATTCTGGACACCGCATCTTCCGTTCCAGTTGTTCTTTCCCTCCCCAACATTATCACCTGCGGCCCATTGGGAGCCCCCAGCAGCCATACGGACTCTGGCTGCTCGGACTCTGACTCACCCCCACGACTCCCCCATTCGTGGGCTCATGCCTCTCACCTTCCCTCCAACATTCCCCAAATCCACGGTCATGTCTCCCTGGGCCTCGGTTAGCTCTCCAGAGCTAGGAACTTCTTCAGGACAAAATTTCCCTTCACACGCAGCTTTTAAGCAAGGGACAGTCAATGAAATTTATGGCAGTTGGGTTGCCCTTCCAAGAGCGAGAGGAATGACGAATTTGGAAAGAGCAGGTCGTAGGCACACAGCCCGCAGGCATCGCTGTTCAACAGGACTTTCTGTGCCGATGGGACGTCCCGTGCGGCCCCACAGAGTAGCTGTGAGCACCTGCAATGCGGCCGGTGGGAGGAAGGAATGGAATTTTCTCTTTCAATTGAAACAAAAGCCACATGTAGCCAGCGGCTACCGTAAGGCTGAGGCAGGGTGAAGCGCCTGTAATTTCACCTTCAGACCACAGTCTCTCCGCTTCTCCCCAGCCTCACAGCCGGCCCTCCAGAGCAAGTCGTCCCCACTGCTGCCCGAGAGGCCCGCAGCGTCCTCGCAGGCCTCCTGGAACCCCAGGCTCCACATGGCGGCCAAGTGAGACGCGGGTGATCTTCATGCACGCCTGCCTCCTATCTCCATACCATGGCCCACAGACCCATGCCTTGCTCCTCTCCGCCCTGCCTCTTCCACTCGGCCCCTTGCTCACTCAGCTCCCCGCTGAACTTGCCCCCATTCCTTTAACACGTCAACTATTCCTCATGATGGTTCCCCAGACAGGAAGCCTCCTGACAGCCCAGGTCTCAATCCATGGTCACCGTCCTTGGTACTGGGCCTTCCGCTCCAAGTCCCTCACCACCCCTTTAATCTCTCCATTTTTTCCTAGTTTTCGTCATTGTTTGAGGTTCATATCATTTGTCTGGTTACTGATTTATCAGCTATTTCCAGCACGGGCTCTATGAAAGGAAGGCTTTGCCCATCTTGTCTGAGGTGAGACTCTCAGCACACAGCAGAGTGATATTAAGTATACATCTAGCACACTCATCCGATAATACTGGTTGATCTGCCTGAGAAAAGATTCACCTATGAGCTGACACAAAGCCCTACTGAAAATATACTTTGTGTTTGTTTCTCTGATCTGCTTAAGAGTTTTATTTTATTATTTTTTTAAGTACGGTATTCATTTTCAGAGAGAGGGGAAGAGGGAAAGAAAGGAAGAGAAACATCGATGTGTGAGAGAAACATGAATGTGTGGTTGCCTCTCACACGCCCCTTACTAGGAACCTGGCCTGCAACCCAAGCACGTGCCCTGACTGGGGATCAAACCAGCAACCTTTCCATTCACAGGCCAGTGCTCAATCCACTGAGCCACACCAGCCAGGGCAAGAGTTTTAGAGAACACTGTTTACTGGAAGAAAAATGAAATATTTGCACTCCTCCTTGATTAGCACGGTCATTTAAAAAAAGAATATATACACTCTGACTTTTGATTCTCTTAAGAAATCATGCTGAAGTTATTGGTGGGAGGGCGAGGAAGCACATGCTGGTAAATGCCATGTAAAAGTAGACACACTCTGAATTCACAGGGTGAGCGCCGTGGGGGCCACGCAGTGGCTTTTGGGGCTTCCTGGGGCTGTCCCAGCTGATAGTCTCATGACGACGCCTGACTTTCTCTGACCATGGCTTGACACTTGACAGGCTTCCCACTCTTTGCTATTATTACTGAGGTGATAATAGTATAAATGTTCGGTTCCGGGAAATGCTTGACCTATTTAATTAATCAGACAGATAGATGTCTGTCTGTTTTAAATTCTCTAGAAAAGTCAGTCCTTTCACACGTTCCAATGCTGATTTAAGTGACAGTTTAAAGTTCTTGAAAATTTGGCTGAGTTTTATTAAAAACAAGAAATTCGGGCTCAATGTTGATTTTATCATATTCGGAAAGAAGGCACTTAGACACTTGGAGAAGTTCAAATCAAAAGACAGAGGTCCACTTCTCAAGGTTAAAGGGCTCTTATCACACACAGTTCATGGGCAATTGTGATGCTAACTTGGGAGAAAGAAAAGAAAAACAGAATTTTTTTTAGAAAGGTAAAACAGTGAAGGGCTTGCTTAGATAAGATGTTAGATAAATCTCACTGCAGCACCCAGGAGGAAATGAATTCTTCCCCTCAGCCCAAAGGGGTCTGTAGCTGATGCACAACCCACTCTTTTGCTTCCTCTTTGATCCACAGCACCAGAGTGAAAACATTTTT